CTTTCCCTCTGCCAGCCTCAGTTCTACACTTCTTTACAAGGAGAAGAGCGGGTTAATACCCTTCAGCAAGCTGAGTCAGGACAATCATGCCTATCTGAAACAGTCATCCAAAAAAAAAATAAATCATATGGCAATTATCTAAGGCAATTGCCATAGCTAAGACAATGAAAAGCAAAATCCACCAGACACCTGATTACGATCAAAGAAATCATGTGAAAAAGGGAAGGGACATAGAGAAACAAGGGCATACTGACAACAAACCAAAGTGAACTGCAAACACTTAACAGATTTAAGAAAATAAAAGTGGTCAGTCGTTCTGCTCTGTCACTGACAATGGCACTACTAAGTCAGCATTTCGACTTGGGAACTTTGCGACTCCTCAACTGACCACTTAATAAGTTTGCTTTTGAAATTTTACCTTGACTAACTGTTAATGAGCATTGCTTTTCTCTGAAGTGTTAAACCGTTCACAAAGCATCCAGGGCATGGAGTTAAGTCCAGAGGCTGTGGTTTTGGGGCCAGGCTCTGGGCTAAGAAAATGGTGGGGCTTCCTGGTATGTAGATGTTGGGCTGGAGCCAGGTTTAGGAGTTTCCTCAGGAAGTTATGTTAAGCTTGCAACTGAGAGGAAAAAAACCCAAACACGCACACCTCTTTCACAGAAACTTGTGACAGAAGATTAGTACTATTATTCTCATTTCACAGGGGGACCTGGAGCAAAAAGAGATACTCCAGGGGCATATCACAGGTAAGTGACACAGAAAGAAGTTCTCTGACTCCCTGTTCAGTGCTTTATCTACTGGACCACGTTATTAAAAGGAAAATAAGACCACTATGGAGTTTTCCAAAGTGATGTATGAGAGAGTACAGCACATTCACGTATTTAAATATTTATGTAGTATATACAATCTGCATTGTGATTTTACAGAGCTTTACCCAAAATAACTCATGCCTATCAGTTACTGTGTTTATATTTTCAACACTGTTGTGCATGTGCCTCATGACTTTTATAACAGAGAATGACATGTATTAAGTTAGGTACAAATTCTAATAGGAACTAGAAAGGATTAAGTCATATCACACATCTGTTTGTATGCAGATTCCATGCTTACATATACAAATAGGTACCTGATAGGTAGGTATATGCATAAATGTACACATGTACACAC